TTTTCATTTTTAAAGTTTTTTGGTATAAAATCTTTTTAACAAACAACAATGAACCACATGTATCCATCATGCAGCTAAAACAATCATCAACTCAAGGCCAGCCCTAGTTTGTTTAAAGTGGGACCTACTTCTGGCTTCCTCCCTGGATTATTGTGAAGCAAATCATAGATACCATATTATTTCATCCATAAATATTTCAGTATGTATTCCCCAAAGATAAGGACTCAAAAAAAAACCACTTCAATATCAACAAATATTCAGTTAGTATTCCCCAGATTTTTCCAATTGTTTGCTTGTTCCTTTTTTTCACAGTTGGTTTGTTCAAATCAGGATTCAAATACTGGATTTGGTTTACATGTCTCACAAATGTCTCCTTAGTCTCTTATCACCTAGATTCCTCCCACAACTTTTTTTTTAAGCTTTTTCTCCTGTGTTTCCTGAAGCTTGAAAGATAAAGCCTGATGCTTGATATGATTTGGCAAGTCAGCTTCATAAGTGGTGGTGTGTAATTGAGGCATGCAATATCTTTCTTTTTTTCTCTTTTTCATGATGATTATTCCCTAGATCCATTATTTTGTTAGGGGTTTACAAAATGTGATATTCTTTTTTTTTTTTTTAAGATTTTATTTATTTAGTTGACAGAGAGACATAGCAAGAAAGGGAACACAAGTAGGGGGAGTGGGAGGGGGAGAAGCAGGCTTTCGGCTGAGCAGGGAGCCCGATGCGGGGCTCGATCCCAGGACCCTGGGATTATGACCTGAGCCAAAGGCAGATGCTTAATGACTGAGCCACCCAGGCGCCCCACAAAATGTGATATTCTGATTCTGTCATGCCTTTTTCACTTACTAGCTGGAGAATGTTTACAGAATTCAACAAGACCAGTGGCATTAGTGTTATTGGTACTTTATTCATTTTTTAGTTTTGTTCATATTCAATAAAAGTTTGTACTGAATAAAAAATTACCTGTATAAAAGATATGCTTTTATAGTTGCATTAGAATTTATACTGAGTTTAAATTTGAACATATTTGCATTGCCAGCACTGAGTAACTCAATAATTTTTGAGGAATCCATACATTATTCAAATCCAAGAGACACTGGTCTAAGGCTAAAGTGTTACATTTTTGCAATATCTAAATTGCGAGGTTTTCTAAGCCAGAAACTGTTTGTTTGTGTTTGTATCCTAGTACCTAGCATGTAAAAGGAAGCAAGTTTCATATCTATGTTGTTACGAAGAATTTCCTATCGCCTCCACATTGGTTCTTTTGTGGACAGACATCAATATCCAGTCTGTGAAGTGTTCATTATGGCCGTGCTCAGGCAGCCTTCCATCCCTACAGAATTCTGATTGTTAGACAGGTATTCTTCCTCCTAAACTGAAACCCGCCTCCAACACAGTCATAACTCTACCCTCCTGCAAGGCCTCCTCTAAGAGTCCTTTCCTGGCCATGTCTACCCACATCCCCCTCTAATGGCAGTGGCCACACTGTGTTATAGTTACTTCATTCCACATCTGACCCTGTCCAGATTGTGGTCTCTCCAGGCAGGGACTGTAGCTGCATCCTCTGTGGCCTCCTCAGGCCCAGCCCAGGGCCTCACACAGAAGAAGTACCCAGAAATGGCCTGTTGGGTCAGCAAATGTGGTCTCTTCTTCAAGTTTAACTTTCCTGATTCTTCTGTTCTTCACAGAAGATGGTTTCCAGACTCCACACCTCTGCCCTCATACCAATAGGCTCTAATTGGCTAAGGTGCCTTTAATCTGTGTTACTTGGAACTGAAGATAGCATGACTGGTATGGGATGGCCAGTGTGAGGTGTGTCAGCTTGTGCTGGGCCCTGAGGACACAGGGAAGGATTCGACTTCGTCCCTGTCTTCAAGGAACTCACAGCTTTGTGGAGGAGACATACCTGTAAATAAAATTCATAATAAACTGTTAAAAGTATCATGAGAGAAGTTTGCACAGAGTACTTGGAAACATAAAAGAAGAGGTGAGAAATCATAAAAGAGAGGGGCAGAAAAGTCTCAAGGTGACATTGAATTAGAATTCTAGGTTGTAAATAAGAAAGAAAAAAGAAAACCCACCTCAAACTAGCTCAAATGAAAAGAGAGTATCTCAGAACGCAAACTAAAAAGTCTGGGGCTTGACTTCAGGCACAGATTGATCCAGGAGGAGGTAGCAAGTAAGGGTGAGTTAGCCAGCTCCAGCAAGAAGGTGCTCCAGGCAGAGAAAATAGCACAGCAAAGGCCTGGAGGGGATAGAGAGCATGTGGGTGTTTGAGGAACTGTGGATTGTCCTCCTGCCTCTTTCTAGGGTGAACAGCCTGGGTTCACAGCCTCCTCCCATATTCCTTCATTCTCCTGCTCCTCTCTCCTTCTCCTTGCCCAGAGCAGGATAAAGAGGAATGGGGCAGGCCCCCACCCATCAGACCGTTGCCCCTCCTGCTTGCCCCTCTAGATGCTCACCACCCTTCTCCACCCACCACAGGCCTCCTTGCTCCCATTTGGGTTGGGGCAAAGGGAGATAGTGGTAGAAGACCGTAAAGAAGGGAAGGAGTAGAGGGAGAGAAGGGTACTTATTTCCTCAGCTCTTTCCCTGTGGGGTCAGCACGGGTTGGGTTGGGTTGGGCTGGGTTGGGTGCACTCTCTACCAAAAGCCACAGCTCCAGCCTGCTGGCCTCTGCAGTTTCTAGTAATCCCTTCCTCCCCTGCCCTTGGAGCCTCGCTATGGTGTCCCTCCTCACCGTTGCTAGCCAGGGTGATGGCACCATTCCTTGCTGGCTTCCTGAACCCTCCTCATACTCTCTTCAAATTACCCAGTTTCAAGGAGCCATCTGTTTCCCGCCAGAAACCTGCCTGACACACGGCCCTCACCTGCACCAGAGGTGAGTGGGGGGCATGCTGGGCCCTGTGAAGTGCTGGGTGCCTGTGAGGGGATAGTGTTATTCAGCTCAACTCGATTCCACCATACTCACCTCTCTCCAGCCTGACCCACAAGGGCCCAGGGCTGTTCTAAGCACTTTACACACTTTATGTAATCTTCACAGCAAATAACAAACCCACAAAGTTGAATTACTGGCTGTGTTTTAAGAAGAGGAAAGCGGCTCAGCTGAAGATTTGCCCAAGTTCATATAGTTAGAGGCAGGTCCGCGGTTTGAACTCAAGTCTGGACTCCCAGAAGCTGTGCATTAAACCGCACCCCTATGACTCCCACTCTGCTCTCCTCACAGGTCAAGTGAAAGGACCAAATGGGACAGCTGGTGCTTTTCAGACTCTAAAGAGCCAACACACCTCGTTGGCCTGAGAACTGTGGTATGTCCCATCCCTCCCAGAAGACCGGACCACTGGAAGGTCAGAGCTGACAGAGGCCCCAGAGATCACACAACCTCACTCCCTCCTGTGCCCAGGAAGAAACAGCCCCAAGGGGTTCCCCTTAGGTCCCACATTCCTGCAGGAACCAGAATTAGAATCTAGAATGTTTGCAGACACCCCGTAAACATATCAGCAAGAAGGATGTAGCATTCCCCTCAGAGAAGAGAGAGAAGGGGTGGGGATCAGGATGGGGGCTGGGACTATAGGATTTCAGATTTGGGGAATGAAAGGCATGTCGGGGGTGCCTGGGTGGCTCAGTTGGTTAAGCGACTGCCTTCGGCTCAGGTCATGATCCTGGAGTCCCGGGATTGAGTCCCGCATCGGGCTCCCTGCTCGGCAGGGAGTCTGCTTCTCCCTCTGACCCTCCTCCCTCTCATGCTCTCTGTCTCTCATTCTCTCTGTCTCAAATAAATAAATAAAATCTTTAAAAAAAAAAGAAAGGCATGTCAGAGCCCATCTAGAAGACTTCTCCCATAGCAACTCTGACAAGGCAGCTCTGCTTGCACAGCTCTCCCATGATGAGAAGCCCACTCTGGCCCAACGCAGCCTGTTCCATGCTCCCCATGAGTGGAGATCTAGGTCCCGTGACTCCCCTGTCCCCAAGCACACTTGTTCTGCATCTTCTCTCTGGGATCCATAGTACATGTCTGCTCCCTATGCCCCAGAGGTGGGAGACATGCTCACAGCATACTTAAGACCCTCTTCTCACTTTCCCTTGGCTATGAATCTCTGGGTGCCCTCCTCCCTCCTCTCTGTCACCCAAATCAGGGCTGTTCTCCAAGGCCCACGTGTTTCAGCCTGTAAAACCATTTACCCTACTTCCACTAATAATATCCATATTTTCCTTAGGGAATCATACCCCCATCAACTTTAAGTTTATGCATTATTATTTTTTTTTAAAGATTTTATTTATTTATATGACAGAGAGACACAGTGAGAGAGGGAACACAAGCAGGGGGAGCAGGAGAGGGAGAAGCAGGCTTCCCGCGGAGCAGGGAGCCCGATGTGGGGCTCGATCCCAGGACCCTGGGACCATGACCTGAGCCGAAGGCAGACGCGTAACAACTGAGCCACCCAGGCGCCCCCATTATTTTTTATTAAGGTATAATTGGCATATAACATTATATTAATTACAGGCATACAACATAATGATTCAATATTTACATACATTGCAACGTGATCACCACAGTAAGTCTAGTTAACACCTTACATAGTTACAAAAATTTTTTTCTTGTGATGAGAACTTTTTTGTTTTTCAAGATTTTATTTATTTATTTGACAGAGAGAGACACAGCGAGAGAGGGAACCCAAGCAGGGAGAGAGGGAGAAGGAGAAGCAGGCTTCCCGCCGAGCAGGGAGCCTGATGCGGGGCTCGATCCCAGGACTCTGGGATCATGACCTGAGCTGAAGGCAAACGCTTAACAACTGAGCCACCCAGGCGCCCGTGATGAGAACTTTTAAGACCTACTTGCATTGACTTTCAAATATGCAGCACAGTGTTAGTAACTATAGTCACCATGCTGATCATTATGTCCCCATGACTTGTTTATTTTATAACTATGACTTGTTTATTTTATACCTCTTGATCACCTTCACCCATCTCTCCCACCCAAGTTTATGTGGTTTGAGTAAAGATGACACCCCATTCAGCTTCTTTCCCTGGCTTCTATGATTGGTGCAGGAATGGGCACTGGGCCTGTTTCAGGACAATAAGAGTCAGACCCAGACTTCTGCCAGGAGGGTTGGAGGGGAAAGAAGCTCTTCCTACCAGTTTTATAGACAGATAGAGTGTATACATGAAACTGCAGGCAGCCATCTTGTTACCACAAAGTGGGACCCTGCCTCAGAATGGAGCAACAGTGAGAAAAGTAGAGCCCAAAGATGCGAAGAGACAGGTTGAAGACATCATCTAAGCTCCTGGATCCAACCATGCCTGAAGCCAATCCTTTGAACTCTGTAATTCCATGAGCCAATAAATTCCCTTTACTACTTAAGTCAGTTTGAGTTGGGTTTTCTGCCCGTTGCGTCTAAGATTCCTAACTGCAACTCACTTCCTCTGCAAATCTTAGTCCTCACTTACCCTACTTTCTTCTGCCTTCCCATAACCCTTACTGTTTAAATCATAAAATTCAAAAGTCCATATTTATAACACTATGAATGCACATGCCCTGATTAATAGTCATCTTTACGAAACACTTGCTATGTGCCAGGTACCAGGTAAAGCATTTTATAAATAATATCTTACTGTAATCCACAGATGTAGCTATTTCTATCCCCATTCTACAGAGAAGGAAACTAAGATTCAGAGAAGTTAGGCTCTCACAGCCAATAACCCAGCTCTGCTGGACCCCAGAGGCAGTGTTCTGGACCACTTGCTTCCCAGGACGTAGCATGTGTGAGGGTGAGGTGGGGAGAAGATGCCATGGAGATCTTTAGTCTCCTGACACCACACCATCCCACCCTTGCTATACCCTCTTCCAGAGGTCTTTTCACTGCTCTGTGCTGCTTGCTGAGGCAGGAGAAAGGTGATGTTCAGAACAAGAAGACCAAGCGTTCTGAGGGTCAAACTGACAGGCCAAGAGGAGACAAATCACAGAAGTACAGGCTGCTGATGAGTAATGGAATAAAATAACTGGATGTGGGGCACCTGGGTGGCTCAGTCGTTAAGCGTCTGCTTTCTGCTCAGGTCATGATCCCAGGGTCCTGGGATCGAGCCCCACATCGGGCTCCCTGCTCAGCGGGAAGCCTACTTCTCCCTCTCCCACTCCCCCTGCTTGTGTTCTCTCTTTGCTGTGTCTCTCTCTGTCAAATAAATAAATAAAATCTTTAAAATAAAATAAAGTAAAAAAAAAATAAAATAAAATAACTGGATGTGACCATCAAGCTTTCTCTGTGTTTCATGCTGTATTTTCCTTGGTGACCCAGGCTTTTAACACTATTGACAGACACAATCCGTGCTCATCCAACCCTTCTCCCCCAACTTACTAGACAGACATGGAGTTACATCCTGTGTATTCTATGGTGAAAAAGACACATGGTCTGTGCTCTTGGAGTGCTCACAGTCTGATGGGAAAGGCAGACCCCAAGTCAATACACAGGTAAACAGAAGACCAGGTGGAGTTCTCTGAAGAAAACAAACAGGAAACTTGAGAGGTGATGGTTCCATTTAACTGAGAGAATGAAGACTGAGGGAAGCCGGGGAAAGAAGTCAAGGGTCCCAGTCCCAATGTATCATTCAGAGATGTTAAGTAGGTAGTCAGATATAGAAGTCTAATGCTCAGAGGAGAAGTGTCTGGCCTAGAGGTTGAAAAAGCATCCTGTTAGCCTTCCAGGCCCTCAGGTTCTTTTTTTTTTTAAGATTTATTTATTTATTTGAGAGAGAGAGGATGTGGGGTGGGGTGAGGGGGAAGGGTAGTGGAAAAGAGAGAGAGAGAATCTTTTTTTTTTTTTTTTTAAAGATTTTATTTATTTAT